CAAAAATGAGAGAATGTATAGAAATAAAAAACAGCCAATAGAAGTTGTTTAGCCTTGTTTTCGCATATTGGCCATATTGGTAGGAAGACTTAGAGAAACACACCTAGTCCAGAGTCCATTGTAGTTATGATCATTTACAGAGTAGGACCGTGGACGTGATGCATTCCCAGACCAAGATTATGACTTCCCATGCCCTAGTCTCTTGTGTGCCAACTCACAAACGTTGTTCAACAGTAAATTTAATCAAAGTAAGCAGTCCCACAACATTTGTGGGTTGGCACACAAGAAACTAGGGCATGGGAAGTCATAATCTTGATATTAGGGATATAAACAAGATAGACGCGGCGGAGACTAGAGCTAGTGGGCTGAGACATGGTCCATTTAGCAAAGGCGTGACCATGAGACCTACTCAGAGGCTTTAGCCTCGAATTAGTCACCCATACGCAGGGGAGGACGAATAATGCCTTGAGTAGCACAGATGTAGTGGCAGAGGTCGAGTACAATTCGTAAACCAGGGAGAGAGCAGAGGGATCTGACGGGGCAAGAGAGAGACTGTGATAAGAATAGGGAAGGAGGACTACGTAACACTATGGCAGACATTCCCAGTACAAGGGTGAAGGAGCTGAAAACGAAAGCGTGGAATGTGAAGGGTTTTCATGAATGCCGCTCAAAGGAGCATACCACACTACATCGAAATAATCCCGTTAAAAATTGTAATAGCGAAGGTATGATAGGATAATATAGGAAATATGAATAGCCCAGGGCAGAAGGGGAGATAGCACAACTGTTTACCACACGTTTGGTCAAAGGATGGGCTTCACCTGTCGCTTTGACGAGCTGTACCATGGTGCTACGAATAGCGAGACTCACTGACGATGCCGGCTAAACATCTGAGAATGTACCACGTCCACGGTCCGACTTTGTAAATGAACATGCATACAATGGACTCCGGACTAGGTGCGTCCCTCTAAGTCTTTTTATTAAATATAATTTATATTTATATATTTCTCCAATTCACCAAAACATCCTGTTAAGAATAAAAATAAGAATACCTTGAAAGATTGAATTGGCTTGATCAAATTCCGTCAACAAGCTTTCAGAATTTAGAAAATCATTCTGAGCTTCCTCATCCTCTTCGCCTTCATAGTCATAAAAGGCATTTTGTCTGTGACCAGAAGCATCGCGAGACTCATCTCCAGACAACGATTCTGCATCATCATGTGCTTCAAAGACATCAAAATTTTCGAGGAGCAGAAGGTCATCGTATGCATTGCCAAGCTCACCAAACCACATAGGTGGAGGAGTGCCCCCTTGGTTTGATGAAGAGTTTACATCGGATTGCTGTTCGCTTGATAAAATTGACTGTGTCTTTGTGGATTTGGCACCAGACAAAAGAAAGGTATTGATGAACCACGATTCAACCTCATCTAGGAGAGAGGATTCATGGTTCAATTGCGAAACTGGCAAACGTTCTAGATATTTTACACACGAAAAAAAAGTGAGAAAAAAAAGCTATAATTCGAAATGAGGGTGCAAGTATAAAAGTCAATGAGAACAAAAATAGAGTTAAATGAGTTTGATGAGAAATTACTGAATTCAGAAATGCAATAAGGAAATCACGATTCAATTAAAAATCGTTCTCAATAAGGCAAGGTATGTATAAAAAAAGAATATGAAACAAAATGGTCTGATTCGTAGTTGCATTGTTACAAAAATGATGTGTACTCAATTTAATATTCCCATTTATTACATCCTGTGTTTACTTAATTTTTTATTACAATAGTCCACTATTTTGTCTCTAATGACATAGCTATCATAATTAGCATAACAATTGGTCTGAGACAATTTTATCTGGTTTCAACAATCATTCACTTTTAAATTTTTTACTCAACAGACTTTAAAAGTACTTTAGTGCGCAGCTGACTTTTGGTGAATAGGGCGATGGGCCATATTAGCATGAGTATACAAGTTTGCTGCAGCCGTATCTGGATAATTAGTTTAATTTCTATGTAAACTTGGGAATAGCCAAAGAAGCGTCAATGTTTCTTGAAAAACGACTACTATCCCCTCGCTGACCAATTCATTTATATTTTTATGAAGGCGTGATAAAAAGATTAAGATGTAAGAAGAAATACAACTC